TATCTAGGTCTGGGGTTGAGGCACTGGCAACTGCAGTGGAGGGAGCTGTTAGGACTTTAAACTAGGAATAGTTAGTGGTATGGGTTTTGGCAGGAAAACAGTGAAGTCCCAGTTTAGTAATATTATGAGTTCTAGGGGAATTAGTAATAAGCAGAACGAGGTAGATATTGAAAAGCCAGTGACACTAGATGATGAGGACAGTAACAGGTTCAGTAGAAAAACAGAAATGAGCAGGAATGATAAAGGGAAAGGAGAGTCTTTCGATGTATATTATGCTAATAGCCGTAGTGCTAGGAATAAGATGGATGAATTGAGATTAGTTGCTAGTGCAGGTAACAATGATGTATTTGCCATAACTGAGACGTGGTCTAATTCAAAAAGTCGGGACATGCCTGCGGAATGTCACATTCAGGGTTTTAAACTGTTCCAAGTCGATAGAAGTATCGGGAAGGGGGGTGGGGTGGCATTGTATGTCCGAGATCGCTTGAACTGTTGCATAAAAACGGGTATTAAGTCTGAAGTAACACATACAGAGTCTGTTTGGATAGAATTTTCAGAGGGGCATGAAAAATTTATTTTAGGTGTGATATACTGTCCCCCAAACTTAGATAGGGACCAAGGGAGACTATTATGGGAGGAAATTGTTAGGGCCACAAGACACGATAATGTAGTAATTCTAGGAGACTTTAACTTTAGTCATATTGATTGCAATTTCTTGACTGGGAATTTAGAATCAAACAACTTCTTAGAAGTAGTTCTGGATTGTTTTTTGAAGCAGTTTGTGACAGAGCCTACAAGGGGAAATAACCTGCTTGACTTAGTTCTGGCAAACAATGAATCCCTTGTTAATAATTTAGAAGTTTCAGAGGAACCGGGTGCTAGCGACCACAAATCAATTACATTTAGCATTGAATGGAAGTATGATAGTAGGGATAACTCAGTAACAGTCCCAGATTTTCGCTTAGCAGATTACAATGGGCTTAGAGAACACTTATCATCTGTTGACTGGGGTAACGAAGAGAGCTATCAATATGACAGTTTTCTGAACACCATACATGCTGCTCAAAGAACGTTTATCCTGTATAAAGAAATTAGATCAAATAGAAATGACCCAAAATGGATGAATAATAGGCTGAAATATCTACTAGGGCATAAGAAAGGAATTTATAGGCGTATCAAAAGAGGTGAGGGTCATCTTATGAATTGGTACAGTGGTCCATCCCTTTTTATAGTTCTCGGGAATCATAGATTTCGGAAATCATAGGGATATTTTTGTATAAACATGGGCTCACTTTTCACAGGCTGACTCGCGAGTAGTAGTTCGTCCGGGACGCGTACGCACGGTGTGAGCCGGGGCAGCAGGCAGTCTGGCATTGTTTACCAGTGAGCGAAGGTTCCCTCATGTGCTCCAGCGAAATATTTCATAATACAGTGGACCCCCGCATAACGATATTAATCCGTTCCTGAGAGCTCATTGTTATGCGAAATTATCGTTATGCGAATGAATTTTCCCCATAAGAAATAATGGAAATCAAATTAATCCGTGCAAGACACCCCAAAGTATGAAAAAAAAAATTTTACCACATGAAATATTAATTTTAATACACACAAACTGAAAAAGGCATGCACAATTACATGACACTTACCTTCATTGAAGATCTGGTGATGATTGATGGGATGGGAGGAGGAGAGAGTCTTAGTGTTTAGAAGGGGAATCCCCTTCCATTAAGACTTGAGGTGTCAAGTCCTTTTCTGGGGTTACTTCCCTTCTTCTTTTAATGCCACTAGGACCAGCTTCAGAGTCACTGGACTTCTGTCGCACAACATATCTGTCCATAGTGGCTTGTACCTCTCGTTCCTTTATGACTTCCCTAAGGTGTTTCACAACATTGTCAGTGTAATAGTCACCCGCATGGCTTGCAATAGCTGTGTGAGGGTGATTTTCATCCATAAAGGTTTGCACTTTCAGCCACATTGCACAGATTTCCTTAATCTTTGAAGTAGGCAACTTCTTCAATTTCTCTCTCCCCTCCTCCGAAGCAGTTTCCTCAGGTCTGCCCTCTTGCTGTTCAAGATGATCTAGCAGCTCATCAGTGGTTAGTTCTTCATTGTCCTCCACCACCAACTCTTCCACATCCTCCCCACTAACCTCCAACCCCAAGGACTTCCCCAATGCCACAATGGATTCCTCAACTGGCATAGGATTCTCAGGGTTAGCCTCAAACCCTTCAAAATCCCTTTTGTCTACACATTCTGGCCACAGTTTTTTCCAAGCAGAGTTCAATGTCCTCTTAGTCACTTCCTCCCAAGCCTTACCTATAATGTTTACACAATTGAGGATGGTAAAATGATCTTTCCAAAACTCTCTTAGAGTCAGTGAGTTTCTGATGGTCACTACAAAGCACCTTTCAAACATAGCTTTTGTGTACAGTTTTCTTGAAGTTGGAAATAACCTGCTGGTCCATGGGCTGCAGGAGAGGAGTGGTATTAGGAGGCAAAAACTTCACCTTAATGAAGCTCATGTCCCTAGAAAGTCGCTCTGCCAAGTCTGAAGGATGACCAGGAGCATTGTCTAATACCAGGAGGCACTTAAGGTCTAATTTCTTTTCAATTAGGTAATTTTTCACTTTGGGGGCAAATGCATGGTGTAACCAGTCATAGAAAAAGTCCCTAGTGACCCATGCCTTACTGTTTGCCCTCCACAGCACACACAAATTAGCCTTGAGGACATTGTTTTTCTTGAACACTCTGGGAGTTTCGGAGTGATACACCAATAAAGGCTTCACTTTGCAATCACCACTAGCATTGGCACACATCAACAGAGTAAGCCTGTCTTTCATAAGCTTATGTCCTGGGAGTGCCTTTTCCTCCTGAGTAATGTACGTCCTGCTTGGCATTTTCTTCCAAAACAGGCCTGTTTCGTCACAATTAAACACTTGTTCAGGTTTCAGTCCTTCACTGTCTATGTACTCCTTGAATTCCTGCACATATTTTTCAGCCACTTTGTGGTCTGAACTGGCAGCCTCAACATGCCTTATCACACCATGAATGCCACTACACTTCTTAAATCTCTCAAACCAACCTTTGCTGGCCTTAAATTCACTCACATCACTAGTTGCTGGCATTTTTTTAATTAAATCCTCATGCAACTTCCTAGCCTTTTCACATATGATCGCTTGAGAGATGCTGTCTCCTGCTATCTGTCTCGTTTACACCCACCAATAACAGTCTTTCAACATCTTCTATCACTTGCGATCTCGGTTTCGTAAACATAGTTGCACCTTTGGCAAGAACAGCTTCCTTGATTGCCGTTTTCTTGCCCACAATAGTAGCGATGGTTGATTGGGGTTTATTATACAACCTGACCAGCTCAGAGACACGCACTCCACTTTCATACTTAGCAATGATCTCTTTCTTCATCTCCATAGTAATTCTCACCCTTTTTGCTGTAGGGCTGGCACTAGAAGCTTTCTTGGGGCCCATGGTGACTTATTTTGCAGGTGCAATCACTACAAAGGCTGTGATAATATGAAATGTTCCAGTTGTTGTATGTTTGGAAGTGACCGCAGTGGCTGGCTGGCTTGTAAACACTGGCACCCAAGGGACAAGTGAGGCGCGCTCAGGCAAAAGTGGACGCGTATGGTATGGAACGAATAGCGCTGGTCGGGTTTTTAAGTGCTAGTTGAGGCAAAATTTTTGCGTTAAAATGTATCGCTAGTCTGATTTATTGTTAATCGATGCCATCGCTGGTCGTGGGTCCACTGTATTCTAGTTTTCTGGTCTCATTTTATAGAATGGAAGACATATTACAGAAATTGAGATGATTTTGATTGATTTCAAAATGAAAAGTACCTTGAAATTGAGCTCAAAGTAGCAGAAATGTTCGATTTTTTCCAAAGTTCAAAAGTAAACAAATCATGCCAAGCATCCCAGACACGTCAACTGGTGAGTCTAATATTCTTTCACAAGTGCGCTGATATTATTTATACCATTTCTACACTAATGCAGTATTCTGCATAACAGTAAATCTTTTATTTTTTTTTGAGAATAAAAATTCAATGTGGAAAGCAATAGAAATGTAAAAGGGGCCTGGGGACATGACTAACGAATAGAGAACTTGTTATTTTAGTGTCAAGAATGTCTGCCTTGTTTATTCTGGACCCTATTTGGAAATTGGCATCTTCTGAAATTTGTGTGAAATTGGCAAACTTGACAATTTCTGACCACTTTATTGGATAGTTGAAATTGGTAAATGGGTGGTTTCTTGTACTCATTCGATAGAAAAAAGTGGAGTTCTAGCAAAATAAATATGATTTTTGTTGACTAGTACACTGGAATTGGCCGAAAATACGACTCAAATTGGGCGAAATCGCCGATGCGTAAACATCGTCAAGACCGCTATAAATACTGAATAACTGAACCTTATAAATTGTATATCCTATATGTTACTCACAATTATATCACACAAATGTTAAACCTAGGACCCAATCTAACTTTATTATTTTTTTAAATACACTACCTAACAGAATACTCCATTCGACTGAATGTTCAGCAATGCATGCAACCATATGACCTGTCTTTGTAATACTCATTTGTGCTTTATAGTTATCTGTTTACAATAATGTTTTATCACTGATTTCATCATTGCTTAGTTAATCTTAAGTTAATTTTAAGCCAGCCCATAATGCTATGCATACAAGTGGCTTTGGCATGCTGCTCTTACCTGTATTTTTTGTACCTCTGTATGTATGCTTAAATTACTAAATAAATAAATAAATAAATAAATAATTCCGTAAGTTTTGTCAAATTTCATACTTTTGGTGTCGTTATGATTGGGAAAAGATTCTCTATCATTCCATAAGAAAAAAATTTTTTTTTTTTTTTTCCGAAAAATTTTCAACCCTGAGAACGAGTTTAGGAGAGGGCCTCTCGACCCTGAAAGGGTTAACATGCTTTTTGGATGCAACATAAGCTATCATTGAAAGCAGCAGATCACTCACCTCATAATTCTTACGGCCTGCTTTTCTGAGACGTTCAGTGGCTTGATCAGCATAAGTTTCACTTTTCCCATTCCTGTCCTCGCATCCGACAAGGAAGAGAAAGTGAGCATCAGCTTTCTCTATTGGAATAAGTGTTTCCGGATAATCTAGTGGATCTTCCCAAGCCTCGTACATATCCAAAACACCATCATCATCAATCTAGTGAAAAACTATGTATTAGTTTACAATACCTGCTTTGGATAAAATGGATTTATAGAAATACAGTGGACCCCCACATGATGCTATTAATCCGTTCCTGAGAGCTCAATATTATGTGAAATTATCGACATGAGAATTAATTTTCCCCATAAGAAATAATGGAAATCAAATTAATCCGTGCAAGACACCCAAAAGTATGAAAAAAAAAATTTTACCACATGAAATATTAATTTTAATATACACAAACTTAAGAAAACATGCACAGTTACATGACACTTACCTTTACTGAAGATGTGGTGATGATTGATGGGATGGGAGGAGGGGAGACTGGATGGTTTTAGTGTTTAGAAGGGGAATCCCCTTCCATTAGGACTTGAGGTGTCAAGTCCTTTTCCAGGGTTGCTTCCCTTCTTTTAATGCCACTAGGACCAGCTTCAGAGTCACTGGACTTCTGTCGCACAACATATCTGTCCATAGTGGCCTGTATCTCTCATTCCTTTATGACTTTCCTAAAGTGTTTCACAACAGTGTCAGTGTAATAGTCACCCGCACGGCTTGCAATAGCTGTCTGAGGGTGATTTTCATCCATGAAGGTTTGCACTTCAAGCCACTTTGCACAGATTTCCTTAATCTTTGAAGTAGGCAACTTCTTCAATTTCTCTCTCCCCTCCTCCGAAGCAATTTCCTCAGGTCTGGCCTCTTGCTGTTGAAGTTGATCTAGCAGCTCATCAGTGGTTAGTTCTTCATTGTCCTCCTCCACCAACTCTTCCACATCCTCCCCACTAACCTCCAACCCCAAGGACTTCCCCAATGCCACAATTGATTCCTCAACTGGCATACTCCTCTCAGGGCTAGCCTCAAATCCTTCAAAATCCCTTTGGTCTACACATTCTGGCCACAGTTTCTTCCAAGCAGAGTTCAAGGTCCTCTTAGTCACTCCCTCCCAAGCCTTACCTATAAGGTTTACACAATTGAGGATATTAAAGTGATCTCTCCAAAACTCTCTTAGTCAATTGAGTTTCTGAGGTCACTACAAAGCACCTTTCAAACAGAGCTTTTGTGTACAGTTTTTTGAAGTTTGCAATAACCTGCTGGTCCATGGGCTGCAAGAGAGGAGTGGTATTAGGAGGCAAAAACTTCACCTTAATGAAGCTCATGTCCCCACAAAGTCGCTCTGCCAAATCTGTAGGATGACCAGGGGCATTGTCTAACACCAGGAGGCACTTAAGGTCTAATTTCTTTTCAGTTAGGTAATTTTTCACAGTGGGGGCAAATGCTTCGTGTAACCAGTCATAGAAAAAGTCCCTAGTGACCCATGCCTTATTGTTTGCCCTCCACAGCACACACAAATTAGCCTTGAGGATATTCTTTTGCCTGAACGCTCTGGGAGTTTCAGAGTGATACTCTAATAAAGGCTTCACTTTGCAATCACCACTAGCATTGGCACACATGAGACGAGTAAGCCTGTCTTTCATAGGCTTATGTCCTGGGAGTGCCTTTTCCTCCTCAGTAATGTAGGTCCTGCTTGGCATTTTCTTCCAAAACAGGCCTGTTTTGTCACAATTAAACACTTGTTCAGGTTTCAGTCCTTCACTGTCTATGTACTCCTTGAATTCATGCACATATTTTTCAGCTGCTTTTTGGTCCGAACTGGCAGCCTCAACATGCCTTATCACACTATGTATGCCACTACACCTCTTAAATCTCTCAAACCAACCTTTGCTGGCCTTAAATTCACTCGCCTCACAACTAGTTGCAGGCATTTTTCTAATTAAATCCTCGTGCAACTTCCTAGCCTTTTCACTTATGATCACTTGAGAGATGCTATCGCCTGCTATCTGTTTTTCATTTATCCACACCAATAACAGTCTCTCAACATCTTCTATCACTTGCGATCTCTGTTTCAAAAGCACAGTTAAACCTTTGGCAAGAACAGCTTCCTTGATTGCCATTCTCTTGGACACAATAGTAGCGATGGTTGATTGGGGTTTACTATACAACCTGGCCAGCTCGGAGACACACACTCCACTTTCATACTTAGCAATGATCTCTTTCTTCATCTCCATAGTAATTCTCACCCTTATTCCTGTAGGGTTGGCACTAGAAGCTTTCTTGGGGCCCATGGTCACTTACTTTTCAGGTGAAATCACTATAAAAAGGCTGTAATAATACGAAATGTTCCGATTGTATGCTTGAATGTTACTGCGGAGGCTGGCTTGTAAACAGTGCCACTGGCTGGCTCAGGCCATATGGACATGTCTCGGACGAATCGCGTTGAGCGAATTTTTTAGCGCTATGCGAGGCAAAATTTTAGCGATAAAATGTATCGCTATGAGGATTTAACGCTATGCGATGCCAACGTTATGCGGGGGTCCACTGTACTGCATATATCCTAAGTTCTAATCATGTGAACACAAACATAGCAATGTAGTTATTACTTGTATTATTATTATTTCCAACACATTGGTCATCTCCCATTGAGGCAGGGTGACCCAAAAAAAGAAACACTTCACCAAAATTCACACTGAATCACTGTCTTTGCAGAGATGCTCTGATATGACATTTTATGTCACTCCAGACAGCCAATATTCTTTAAAGTGCAGGCATTGTACTTACCACCTCCAGGACTCAAGTCCAGCTAACCAGTTTCCATGAATCCTTTCATAAAATATTACCCTGCTCACACCCTAACAGCTTGTCAGGTCCCAAAAACCATTTGTCTCCATTCACTCCTATCTAACACACTCACATGTGTCTGCTGCATGTCCAAGTCCCTTGCACATAAAAGCTCTTTTACCCCCTCCCTCCATACTTTCCTATGATGGCCCCTACCCTTCCTTCCCTCCACTACAGATTTATACACCCTCCAAGTCATCCTATTTTGCTCCACCCTCTCTATATGACCAAACCACCTCAACAACCCCCCTTCCACCATCTGAATAATACACCTACCATCCGACTTACGACCGAGTTCGGTTCCGAGAAACCGGTCGTAAGTCAAAATGGTCGCAAGTCGACCTTTACTACTGAATATCAACAAAACATTTTTGTAATGACTTTATTCAAGTTAATAAATGATATTGTTGCACACAACTACCATGAGGTAAACTCGTATACAGTGCCACCTCGCATCCTGTTGGCATCACATAACGTATATAACCACATATCGATACATTTTATCACTAAAATTTTGCCTTCATTCCGCAAAAAACTCGCTCAAAAACGCTATTCCCGAGACTTTAATGTGCGGCCTGAGCCACTTCACATGTCTCGCCGGTTGCATTGTTTACAAGCCAGCCTCTGCGTAACATCAGCATACAATCGGAACATTTCGTATTATCAGCGTTTTCTGGTGAATTCATACTGCAAAATAAGTGACCATGGGCCCCAAGAAGCCTATGCAACCCAGTTGGTAAAAGGGTGAGAAAACTATCATCTCACAGTCAGCTGCTGTTGACAACCTCGATCAGCTGTTGCTGACCATCAGCTGTTGCTGGATCAGTCAGCTGCTGCTGGATCAGTCAGCTGCTGCTGCACCACGATCAGCTGTTGCTGGACTAGTCAGCTGCTGCTGCACCACGATCAGCTGTTGTTGGACCAGTCAGCAGTTGCTGGACCATCAGCTGTTGCTGGAATCAGTCACTGCTGCTGGATCAGTCAGCTGCTGCTGCACCACGATCAGCTGTTGCTGGACTAGTCAGCTGCTGCTGCATCCACGATCACGCTGTTGTTGGACCGTCAGCATTGCTGAATCAGTCAGCGCTGCTGCACCACGATCAGCTGTTGCTGCACCACGATCAGCTGTTGCTGGACCAGTCAGCTGTTGCTGAACCAGTCAGCTGTTGCTGGATCATTCAGCTGTTGCTGGATCATTCAGCTGCTGCTGCACCACGATCAGCTGTTGCTGGACCAGTCAGCTGCTGCTGCACCACGATCAGCTGTTGCTGGACCATCGCGCTGCTGCACCAGATCAGCTTTGCTGGAACAGTCAGCTGTGCTGCACCACGATCAGCTGTTTGCTGACCAGTCAGCTGCTTCTGCACCACGATCAGCTGTTGCTGGACCAGTCACTGCTGCTGCACCACGATCAGCTGTTGCTGACAGTCAGCTGCTGCGCACCACGATCAGCGTTGCTGGACCAGTCACTGCTGCTGGCACCACGATCAGCTGTTGCTGGACCAGTCAGCTGCTGCTGCACCACGATCAGCTGTTGCTGGACCAGTCAGCTGCTGCTGCACCACGTTCAGCTGTTGCTGGACCAGTCAGCTGCTGCTGCACCACGTTCAGCTGTTGCTGGACCAGTCAGCTGCTGCTGCACCACGATCAGCTGTTGCTGGACAGTCAGCTGCTGCTGCACCACGATCAGCTGTTGCTGGACCAGTCAGCTGCTGCTGGACCAGTCAGCTGCTGTGCACCACGATCAGCTGTTGCTGGATCCGTTCAGCTGTGCTGGACCAGTCAGCTGCTGCTGCACCTACGATCAGCTGTTGCTGGACCAGTCAGCTGCTGTTGCACCACGATCAGCTGTTGCTGGACGTTCAGCTGTGGGACAGTCAGCTGCTGCTGCACCACGATCAGCTGTTGCTGGACCAGTCAGCTGCTGCTGCACCACGATCAGCTGTTGCTGGACCAGTCAGCTGCTGCTGCACCACGATCAGCTGTTGCTGGACCAGTCAGCTGCTGCGCACACGATCAGCTGTTGCTGCACCACGATCAGCTGTTGCTGGATCTTCAGGCTGCTGGACCAGTCAGCTGCTGCTGCACCACGATCAGCTGTTGCTGGACCAGTCAGCTGCTGCTGCACCACGATCAGCTGTTGCTGGACCAGTCAGCTGCTGCTGTACCACGATCAGCTGTTGCTGGACCAGTCAGCTGCTGCTGCACCACGATCAGCTGTTGCTGGACCAGTCAGCTGCTGCTGCACCACGATCAGCTGTTGCTGGACCAGTCAGCTGCTGCTTGCACCACGATCAGCTGTTGCTGGGACAGTCAGCTGCTGC